TTGATGACGGCCTAGTACATGACGTCGATTTTCAAGACCACGTCACCCACGTTCGTGACGTCCTTCACCGTGCCCGCGAGCATCACATTACGCTCAGCCCACACAAGTTTGTATTCGGCGCTAGTGAAGTACAGTTCTGCGGATTCGTCATCAATGCTGATGGTTATGCCGTTGATGGTAGCAAGACATCTGCCATTCGCCAGTTCGAAGTGCCCTGCAACCGCACTGACCTCCGCTCATTCTTCGGTTTGGTCAACCAATGCAGCGACTTCACACCGCGCATTGCTGAACTAAGTGAGCCGCTTCGCCCACTCCTGAAAACCAGCAATGAGTTCGCCTGGGATCAGCAGCACACCATAGCATTCGAAGCCGTCAAAGCCATCCTGACTGAGTCACCAGTGTTAGCTTTCTTCCAGCCTGGAAAGCCTCTCCGTCTCGAGACTGATGCATCTGTGAAGAATGGCCTCGGATTTGCCCTATGGCAACAGCATGATGACCAGCAATGGCACCTCATCCAGTGTGGAAGTCGTTTCTTATCTGACGCTGAAACAAGGTACGCTGTAATCGAGCTCGAGTGCCTCGCAGTCGTCTGGGCAGTGCACAAGTGCTGCTTGTATCTATCTGGTGCAATGTTCTCACTAATCACCGACCATCGTCCGCTTGTACCGATTATCAACAGCTACACCCTTGACCAGATTGAGAACTCTCGTCTACTTCGATTGATCATGAAACTTCGTCCGTATCAAGTGAAAGCATCGTGGCGTAAGGGTTCAGAGCACGTATTCGCAGACGCCCTCTCACGACATCCTGTATCAATCCCGACTAGTGATGATGAACTTGGAGAAGATCCAGCACTGTCCTGCCGCAGTATCCGTATCTGTCTACTCCAAGATGGTCCCCAGAGTCTCCAGTTCGCTAAGCTCCGTGCCGCAGCAGCATCTGATCCTGACTACCAGATGCTACTCGGGTATATCCAGAACGGATTTCCCTCAGCACAAAAGCAGCTGCCCGAGCCTCTTCGTGCGTATTGGAACGTGCGTGAACATTTGTCCACCGACAATGGCATAGTCCTGAAAGGTCTACGCATAGTCGTCCCAGCCTCTCTGCGTGCGTCAACGCTGATTGACCTTCACGCAGCCCACCAAGGTCTGACCCGTACCAAACGACGTGCTCGTCAGACAGTGTATTGGCCCGGAATGAACAGTGAGTTAGACACGCTAGTCCGCAGCTGTGATGCATGCCGTGAATTTCAGCCGTCTCAGTCTGCCGAACCGCCCATTTCTGACCGCAAGCCCACTTTGCCATTCGAAAGTGTTAGTGCTGACCTTTTCAGTTGCCAAGGTTGCGAGTATTTGGTATTCGTCGACCGCTTAACCGGATGGCCATGCATAGCCAAGCTTGGTCACTCAGCCACGTCAGCTGACGTCATCCGTCATTTCCGCAGGTGGTTCCCAGAATGATGTAGGCGTACCACAGGTCATTTCAACGGACGGCGGTCCTCAGTTTGCGTCTCACAGATTTGCTGAATTTTGCGAGCGCTGGGGAATCCGTCATATCAAGTCGTCCCCTCACTACCCACAGTCGAACGGACATGCGGAAGCAGCCGTAAAGGCAATGAAGTACCTGGTGGAAAAGACTACCAATGACGGTAATCTAGACACCGATGCTTTCCAGCGTGGCCTTCTCGAGTGGCGCAATACTCCTGGCACTTCGGGAAAGAGTCCTGCCCAGTTACTGTATGGTCGCCCACTCGTCTCCTTCGTTCTCGCCCAATGGAGCCAGTTCGACTCCCACTGGCAAGACACCGCATCTGACATGAATGATGTTGATCGAGTAGACCAGCCTCCCAGTCAGCCTCACCGAGAGCTTCCCCACTTGTCTATCGGGACGCACGTTGACATTCAGCACCCGAAGACAAAACGGTGGTCTTCCCGCGGCGTTGTCGTGGCTATCGGTGACCACCGCGACTACTACGTCAAGCTACCGAGTGGACGCGTATATTGGCGCAACCGTCGCTACCTCCGCCCGTACCGTCCTCCTACTCCAGCTTCAACAGCCATGCCTGCATCGTCTCCCGTACCCGACGCTGCACCACAAGCAGTCCCTGTGACTCAGTCGTCGCCACAGTCAACTGTTCAGGTACCACCTCGAACAAGCCAACGTCCCCGGCGACAGAATGTCCCCTTTAACATTATTTCAACGCGTGGACAATCGTACAATTAACACTCGCTCTGTTCAGTTGTTGATGTCCATTGTACCTATTCAATTGTCATTCCCATTGTTTCGCAGTTGAAAACCTTCATGTATATAATTTTTGCAATTATCCCTTTTACAAGTCTGTTGGAAGTTGCTGCTGCTCCGCGACATGTCATTTGCTACGCACATGCAATTTTCACATTATTTTTTGTTGATTAGATAAACACTTGTACGTTTTTATCTTAGGAGGGGCATGATGTATATGGCATACTTCCGTATATGGTGCAACTCCCGCACCCCGTATGCACCCGCCTAGAGCTCCTGCTTCCATATGCGCTCGTACACACTTTCCTTGGTGTTCGTACACACTTCCCTTTTGTGTTCGCACACTGCTTGGAATGTTGTTCTTCGTTTGTTGTCCTCCTTGCTAGTTGTGAATAAACTCTGTCTGACACCACAGGACCCAATGGGGCTGAGAGGCGTTGTGGTCTAGTTGGGTCTGACACAACACCGCTGAATTGGTCACTGAGCTGTGAGACCCTGACGGCTGGTGGAACTGAGGGCTTGTTACGACCGCTGAGGTAGTTGATAGTCTGCCAGGTTTTTCGTGCGTTGGCCTGACTAGCAGCAAGAAGGTCCCTAAAGTAGGTGGCTCGGAGATGTCGTGACATACGCTTGGCTTCGTCTCGGGCAGAAGTGAGGACATTGCGTAGAGCCGGGTCTGCAGGTGATGCTTTCCACCGTCGATGGGCCGCGTCACGTCGCTGGACTAGGTCATACAGAGCTGGCGTCTTCCAGGGGAAGGATTTCCGAGTAGGAGCTTTAGGGCGGTGTAGACGGATAGGAGCATGAGTGTTCAAGACAGCGACAAGTTTCTCCAGCCACATATCCCACATTTCATCTTCCGTCCGCGCAAAGCAGAAGTTCTCTAGGTCGCTATTTAGAAGGTCATGTGCAAATTGACCCATATCAATTCTTGCAATGTTACGGCCACGTCGCACGGTCGGTGTGCAGGACGTTGTGAGTCGCAAATCAAGTGCCACAGCGAAGTGGTCACTGATTGTACAAGATACTACGACACAAGAGGTCACATGATCGTCTCCCACCAGAGCGAGATCCAGGGTTGTTTGGCTGCCCTGGGGTCCAACTCTGGTAGGACTGTCCACTTGGTTCTTGATGTCGAAAGCAGCAAGCTGTTTAGCTGGGGGCTGTCGCGGGAGCTTACATCGACATTGAAGTCTCCAACAATGACCAGACAAGGACCAGAGGTGACGTGGGAAGTGTGGAGACGACAGTGTGACTAGTGCATTCGTCAATTCTTGCCAAAATTGCACAGGAGTGCCTGGAGGACGGTACACACCACCAAGGAGAACCTTGGAACGCTGCCCGCTGACCTCTAACATGAGCACTTCTACCTGGGTGTCAGCCTTCACGATTCGGGCTCTGTCGTGATCTGCATCCCGATGTACCACTTGTAGTGTAATGACTGCTGTCATGACTCGGCCTGGTCTAGTCGTGCATAGCTGACTCTAGTTACTCTTGTCCCCTACTGACATTGTGTTTCACCATTAGTACACGTTGCCTCTACTCTATAGATCTAGTCGGTGCATGAATAGCCGTTCCTAGGTTTACATGTTCCATCGTGCAGTCCGTAGTGCACGCGACATTCTCGGCTTGACTTCCCCTGCTCTGGCAGCCAGCCAGTCATTATTCCTTTGTGATGGTAGAGAAAGGTTGTACATTGTCTTGGCTCGTATCCAGTAACTCTTTGGGAATGAGGGTACGGATTTGAGAAGTAAGTTGGAATCACTAACTGTAGTTACTTGTGTGACTGGATTGGTTGGGATTAGTAAAGTGAAACTCTCTCGAGACGTTTAGGTTGTGCGTCAATCGAGATAGGCTCGGAGATGATCTCTTACATATGCTGCTAAGCCTCCGCCATGAGTTGGCCTGTCGCGTCTGACCAGGGTGTAATTCTGTATGCGTAGGATGTCATCGGAAACGGAGGTTCATAAAAAAGTCTCTGCCAGCATCATTATATCAACTTTATGGGAAAGAATATAATCTTCACTTTCATGCGTTTTATTGAGAAGATGGCAAACATTTAGGAATCCTATTTTGAGGTTACTTGTAATAATTCATGCTGTAGGAGATTTGCAGTGGGGCAAATATCTCATGGCTGAGAGATAGTTGCATGAGGGTAAGGGATGAAAAGGGGCTGCGTGAGGATTTAAACAGAACATTTTAGTGCTCCTCTGCAGCTCGACCTGTTGCTACACTGTCAGCCTTGAAGCGCCATTCTCGAACTCTGACGTTTGAAGGCCAGAATTTGCGTGCAGGCCATGCTGATGTCTACGCGAACAAGCACAAAATAATAATAATAATAATAATAATATTGTTACTGTTACGTTAGATTGACAGCATGAAACACACACGTACAAGGTGGAGGACACTGTGTTCGGAAACAGTGCATGACCTTACTACAACCTTCCGCGGTTGGCAGAGCCAGACTCACTGCGTTCGATTATGCGCAGAAAAAAAGGAAAAAATTATGCGCGCGAATCGCGCTATTCACATCACCCCATATGCCATGTGGATTCCGAATCGATTCAATGACCATGATGACCGCCAGCCACTCAGTTATCATGATTCATGGTCTACCATGCCCATGGTCTACCGGTCCAGGTATACCCGGCAGTGCATGCTCGACATCATGACTCCGTTGCATGCTCTCGGAATCGGATGTCTGGAATTAATATTTTCTTGCTGGCCTTTTCTAATCTGCTGTTGAAAGGTTTCTCTCACGTGTTGTGGAAAGAATCCTTTTTAGTGATCTTCGTTTTCCCGACTTCAAGAGGACACAGTACAGATTCGTCCCCCCAGTCCCCCACATCCTGAGACTAGTAGTAGACCTACCGTGCCCTGGGTGCGGCGGCGCTGCTTAGGTGAGCAGCATTGGACGCTGACCATGTCCTGAACTCAGCGACTGCACTGACGTGCAGAGTTTGTTTCATAGTACTGTAGCAGCGAGAGATTTCGATTCCTGATTGGTGTCGTGGACCGCCATGGCCTACAAACCCAGCCCTGGTGATGTGTTCAGGATTAAAATGACCATCGAGCCACCGAGAGGACAGAAGTATTTAGGTGTGCGCCAGGGAGAAATGGTTGTGTTCAAGAAGTACACAGCCAAGTCGGAGCAGGGACAGAAACTCGGCCTTGGACCGGGTTGGTGGAAGATGAATGTGCAAGGAGTGCGCTCGGAAGCTGGTACTCGTTTCGTGGCAGCGAATAATTGTGAGCTTGTGCTGCGTTCCGTGCCTGGGAGCAACCTGACTGCCTCGATGAGCCCAGATGGAAGCCATGAGGGTGCGTTGTCTGGAAGCTTTGATGGTGGTGCTGCGAATGCTGGAGCCAGTGGAGGTACTGCTGGTGCTGCTGGTGCTGCTGGAGCGAGTGGAAGAGGATTTCAGGAACCGGGTGATTGCCCTGGTACATGTTCACAGTCCCATGACTCATCCGCTGCTGCTGCTGTTGGTGCAGCAGGTGATCCCGCCGAGTCGTGCGCACGTGACATGCACAACACGCACCCAGGAGGACCAGGTCAGTCGACAGGTACATGTAGCTGTAATTACATGTAGTGGTGTTCACTTGAGTGCATGCTTCCCTCATAAAACAAATCATTGCTTGATCAGCGCAATGGAGGCCTAGGCTGTTCGTATTACATGTACTATCTCAGTCAACTCCTGATATAACGAACACCATTGGGCAGGAGAATTAGTTCCTTTAATATAGCGGAAGTTTGTTATACCAGAAAAGTCAGAAATGCACCGACACCATACAAATAGCACAATCATGACAATTGGTTCGTTTGTAACGAAAACAGTTCGTTACAAAAGGTCAATATGGTATGGGTTCAAACAGGGACATGGACAGTGGTTCCCTATTATCACGAAATTCGCTATAAGACGAGTTTTGTTATAGATATAAGTTGAGTCGACTGTATATATTTTTACTTGAGTCTATGTGCTGTTGAATCACAGTGTATGTACGGAATTGGTAAGCTGTGCTTGGTGACAACCTGTTCATTCTTCAACGCTCAGTTCTTTGTGGCCCGACAGCAATATAATGAGTTGTGTCAGTGGCTGTATCATCTACGATGCATGCGGTTATGTTGGATAAGCGCCTCTGGCACCCCTCAGTCTCGCGTAGCTCCTGCAAAAGCTTTTCAGTGCAGTACAATGTGGAACGTGCATCGCAGTCGGCGGAGAGATGGTCGTACATTACTTTAAGACATGTATATTGGTCATGTACATACACGTATCCCTTCACTGTGCATAGTTCAACCCCCCCCCCCCCCCACGCACACACACACAATGGTTGCCTCTTTGCTTTGTCATACCACAACCATTTAATGCGGTGAACCCCTCGATAGGAGATTTGCCTTTGGGTCATCCTAATAGTTATTATTAATGCAATGAATATTACTAAATGCGCACCCATATCACAACCATGGGGACGAATAATGTATTCCAGAACGTTTTCTTGTCACAATTATCAATGGAATTCGTGACTAAAGAGAATGATGAAACTACAATAGGATTTATGCACTTGGAGTGAAACAATGAGGATACAAGCATAGTAATAAAAATACCACAAACTTAGGAAAAATTTGCACACGCCAGAAGTCGGAAACCATGTCCTTGGCCGCGACGTCCATCTCCAAAAAGAACTCCATCTTCGTCGTGAAAAGGCTTGAAATCCTCAATATTCAACGGAGATTCGCGGTCTCACGCTTACTCAGATCGAATCATTTTTTGTTGTAGCAGTTGCAAGGCGGATCCCCGCCACTACTTCAACAGGGTTTCGCTTCACAGCATGCCTGGAACAAGCCATATCGAGGTTACAAGCTACCCCTCTCAGCAAGAAATTTGAAATTTCAATGGTGGAAGGTATACTACTAACAGAATTTCAAAAGGTATGGTTCGCGGCGCGATCGTTCTACCTACGTCATTCAAACTTCGCAGGATAGTTCTGACCTACACGGTAGGCATGGAACCAAAGGGTTTGATGTCATAGCTGACACACAAAGTCACACACACACAGCACATTCGTGTGCACAGATACTAAATTAGTGGACGTCGTCATCTTCTTCCCGCTGGTCTGAAATGTACGATGACGTGCTATTTCGCCTGACGAAGAACTTCAGAAACGGGGAAGTTGAGTAGCGTGTAAACGTTGCATTTGTCTGCTACACATACCATCACGGCATCAGCTATAAGCCTATTGCGCATTGCCAAATATGGAAGGTATGAGTAATGCATGTGAGTACACTGGGATCAGGAATGCACTGTTCAACACCCCAGACGACCATGCCCAGGTGGCTGTGTGGGGTGTTTATGGTACAAATTACGTCATTGCGCAATGGGCTTATTGTGGTGGTGGTGTAGTCACTCTAATGTTCCTAGTTTGTACCATCCACCATGTAAATTGACTTGGTACGAGTCTGCCTTCAAATTGTCTGGCTCATCCAGTTCTCGTAGACTTTGATGCCACATCCATGTCGAAACTACTTGTGCTGATTGTCCAGGGTTTGAGTTTCCGGTGGCCATTTGCAATGCCAAGCGAAGCACTTCTTTGACGATTGTCCATTTTCTTAAAGGGGAAGTTAACCCTAAAATCAAATTTTCACCAGTAACGTTGTAGTCTTCGGGGTGCTGAGTCGAATGGTCTTCAAGTGGTCCGGGGAAGCTGAGATGCTCCATAGGTATAGGCCCAGATGGTAACTGCTTCTAACGTTGGAGCTCGCGTTTTCTGCGGACTGACTGACACTTGAAGGAATTAACGATTGCCTTCAGGAGCAAAGGAGAAGAATGCTGGACCTTCCACTCGGCAAAACTGCAATAAAGCACCACTCCCTGCCGAATACACAGTGTTTCCGGGAATACACCCCTCATGAGTTGAGCATGAGTAGCCTAATACATTTTGTGTTCTTTGAGCCAAGACATCACTGCAGAGAACAAGTTGTAGCGATGCTTCGTTTCCAGGGCAACAAACACCTCGCGAGCACCAGCAGTGTGAGTTAGGGTCGCACTCGGAGTTCTGAAGACAAATGCTGAGGGTCATTGACCATTCGCAAAGCTGTCACTTCCGATCATCTAGGCACACGCCCGAGCGAGGGACAATACGAACTGAAATGTTGCAACTTTGGCAATAATTTTGAGGGTCTCGGGCTGCTCCTAGCGTTAACGCTTGCGCTTCCTTCCGACTAACTAACACTCGACAAACTCAATACTGCAGGTGAGCACAGTTCGTACTGTTGTCTCTCCCGCGGGCGCGGTACTAGATGATCGGAAGTGACTGCTTTGCGAATTGTCTACGGCCCTCAGCATCTGTCTTCAGAACTCCATGTGCGACCCTGACTCACGCCACTGCCTGGTGCTCGCCAGGTGTGTGTTGCGCTGGATACAGAGCGTTGTTGTGATTTCGTAACCCTAGTGATGGTTTTGCCTGAAGAACATAATACAGTGCTCTCGGAGCGCAAACCTTATTAACCTACTCAAACTCAAGCGGTCAGTGGTGAATTCCCCGAAGCAATGTGCGCTGAGAAGGGAGTGGCATTTTCTTTCGAATTTGTTGAGTAGAAGGTCCGGCATTCCCGTTGTGTGCTTCTGACAGCAGTCGTTGATTCATTCAATTGTTAATCACTCAGAATCGGGGAAGCGCAAACTTCGTCATTCGTCATGTGGTCTTGCGAGACACACTTCAGAATGTACTCTCTCGTTCTTAGCTGTTTGCTTGCTATTGGCACGGTCCGTGAGAGCGGACATTAGATCATCCGTAGAACACGAGACTCTTAATCTCAGGGCCGTGGGCTTGAGCCCTGCGTTGGGCGCCAAATGATTGTGACGACGAAGCAGCATGTACAACAGGGTGACTAAAAGGGAAGGGTGTATTGACAGCAAATGCATCATTTCTTCAATACTTCTCTGTTCTCTGTGTTTTCTGTGTTTCATTGTCTCCAGCTCAAGTGGAGTTTCCAGTCCGCTGCCGCATTCTTGAAAATGTGTATAGCGATGATGCACACGCAGATTATCTTGATGTGTCTCGTGGAGATATGGTGACTGTCACGGGTCCTGCCGGATATGGTGTCTATCATGCACACTCCGAATATGGTGCAATTGGTACTGTACCTGCGTCCGCTGTTGATCTGCGGCGTGTTGCGCAAGAGCAGCCAACCACAGCGTCTCGTCAAACACAAGGTGAGAGTGGTTCTTTGCTGCATGCCTCTCTCAAGATGGATTGCGGTCTGTTTATCCGTCCTGTGTCTGTTGCTAGTCTTGCATTTGACCTCGGGCTATTCCTCTTCATGGCCTGCTATTCTAAAGTCACTTTACAGCATCAGGTGTTCTGAAAATAATCAGGATGAAACTGTGTGAATGCAAGCATGCATGGTTGTGAGGGTTTTAACTTTTAAGACCAGGATTGAAAATCACAGGGTTGCAGGCTAAGGGAAAGGACCGCCAAAAATGAAAATTTCACTACTTCGTCACAATTTACAAGGAATGGGAAAAGAAACCATGACCAGCTGTACGCATGCTCCAGATATAGTAATAGTAGATCAAGTCATAATAATGTGTACTCTTGTGACGAATATGTAGTGACGTAACAATGTCCCCTTTAAAAGAAAACAGAGAAGAAGGTAGCAAAATGATCATCGTAATATGTACGACAGAGAAATGCAGAAGAAATGCAGACATAGAGAGAAAATTTGTTGGAAAACACTGTACAAATCCGCATACACCAAATGTAGCATGCAAAATTGAATCATGACATGACACTAGCAGAAGATATACCTAGACCATGTCAACGAACCTGAATACACAATTTAACTACTGTATAGAGAGTTTTCAAGGACGCCTATCTCGCCACCGCTCCGGCGATCACCCCGAGTTTGCGGTGAACAGGTCGCATGTCAACATGCATTGAAAAGTATATGAAATGTGGCAGGTTTGTCTCCACCAGCACTTGGAGCGATTCTGAAGCTTGTTCTTTTTCGCCCAAGCCATGGAAGGGCTTCCTGGCAACTGCTCGGACTCAACACGAGTGTCGTACATCAAGTGGAGCGCCGTTCTCTGCTTCTTTCACCTCCACGCATCCATTCCCATACACAAAAAGAACATGAACTGGGCTTCGCCTGTTCACCAGCGATTCAAAATTTCTCGCACGTGACCCCAAAAAGCGACCGCTGGTACAACCTTGAAAGGGCTCTATCAGCAGGTAATTTTCGGATGGAATTTTTTTCCTACGATTTCGTACACGGCCTCTTTTGTAATAAAATTAATGTGGGGTTAATGCAGTTCACCCTTGTTAGCGCTCATCACATGCACAGACTCTCACTGCTACTTTTCCCCGTGTTCCTTATACTTGGCCATGTCCGTTTGTCTTTGGGCATCTACATACATGCACATGGCTCATGCACTGCTCGTGCACGTCTGCACACGCTGCACTGATTGGGGCACCCAATATGCCACCTGATGCGCCTGTCTGCGTTCCACGTGCTGCATGAAAGTATAAGGTACACCGGCCCGTGCACCTGTCCTGGCTTTGGATTGCACTTACACTGCTCAGTACACAGGGGCATAGGAAGCAGTTTAATATTGATGCGGCGAAATTGTGAGAGGGGGGGTCGGGGGGGTCGTCCCCCGGGATTTTTTTTGAAAATTGGGCCTAAAAGGCCATATTTTAATGCTACAGAATAATATAAGAAATAAGAATATGCATGCTGATGATACATGTACACCGCATTGTCGATGTAAAACATGGTGCCTGTACAAGAGTCGACAAGCCATCAACAAGGTTGAAATGTAAAAAAAAAAAAAATTCGAAAATTATTGGTCCGGCGACCGGCGGGCCTGCCGGACCGGTTCCTACTCCCATGGTACAGCATGCAAGTATAAGGTACACAGGACTGTGTGCCTGTCCCAGCTGTGGGTCGCACTTACAGCTCAACGATCGAACACACACTGTATATCACACCAGTTTGGAGAGCTCCAACTGTTCTATTGTTGTTTTCTGGCTGTTCTTGCTCAGCAGAAGTGGTTGGCTTCTGAATACTTTTCCCGCCATCCCACCCTTACCATTATTTTTTACCAGAACTTCCACTACCGGTCCACTTTTCACGATTAATACTGGGTGCTAGCACAACTCTTAACGGCAATGGTTTAACTCATTCAACCACTCGGTGCTCTATGTTGAGCCACACGCTCCATGTTGAGCCACTCAATCTCTCGCGCTCTATGTTGAGCCCCCCCCCCCCCCCCCCTCTCTCTCTCTCTCTGTCTCTTTGTCTCTCTCTCTTTCCCTCACTCTCTCTCTCTCTCTCTCTCTCTCTCTCCCTCCCTCCTACCCTCCCTCCCTCCCTCTCTCTCTCTCTCTCTCTCTCTCTCTCTCTCTCTCTCTCTCTTTCCCTCCCTCTCTTTCTCGTGCTCCATGTTGAGCCACATTGCCTCATTCGCAGCCAGCACCCGCATAGCTCCAAACTCTGTGTCTTGTGTGTTTGTGTACTTCATAGCGGTCTAGTATCTCCTCTCATCTTCATGTTCATGTGGGATTTGGGCTAATTCCGTAGTAAAATGTGTTCATGTGAAATTATGTACACTATACATGATATCAAGAGTAGATAAACAACAGTGTGCAACTTCTGGATGAGTTGACCCACGGCGGAATTTTTTGTTGACGTAATCTTTTCGACGACGCACGCGCTGCGAGTCTTTTGGAAAGTTTTGCCTCGTGCACTTGGCCGGGCTTTACATGACAAGGTCGGTGCCAAGCACGTGCTCTCACACTGCTCTGCAGCAAAAATGCACGTTTTTCTGAAAAAAGGTGACGTCAACAAAAAATTCCGCCGCGGGGGGGGGGGGGGGGGAGATCTGGAGTTGCACACTCTTGTTTATCTACTCTTGATGATAACATCATGAACCGGCTCCCGTTCAGGACTAGAGCGTACCCGTAGTGGCGCAGTGCAATTCATAGTACAGCTAGCTAGCCATAACACGCATGCAATGCGCCTTGGCACGCGCGTGCTGCATGCGAACACGTGAATTTAGCATGCAGTACTGTACGTAAATAAAATTCGTACGAAAGATCGAAATTCGGCTTTGTCCGAAAATATTCCCGTCCGAAAATTTCCTGCTATACAGTATGTACAATGAAAAATGAGCAATCTATTTTTTGGAGACGAGAATGGCAGTTCTGCATCATTCCTAATTACTCGAATTGTTTACTCACGAAAGCGATGAGGTATTACTACCCGACGGCCTGAGCGTGTTGTGCTTGTAGGTTGACTAACACACTGCTCTTGTGACGATGGTTGCATCTGCTCGGGGGGGGGGGGGGGGGGGGGGTATCGATGGAATGTCCAACGTTGACTCATCTTGGGACGTTGAACACTGAGCAGTTGGTAGCTGTTGTTGCAATAGCTCTGGTTGATCCGTACGTTGACCACCAGACGAGTTGGTTGCAGCTGTTTGCTGTGCTGCAGATCCTTCACTGATGACAGGAGACTTGTCTGCAGTACAGTGCTGTGCTGTGTCTGATGCAGCAGAGGCGTGAAGTAGCAGTGATTCTGACCGCACTGTTGCCAGCTCAGACAACGGAACTGAACGCACTCGTAGCTGGTTTCTGTGCCGTTTCCAGACTGTATCGCCAACTTGAACCTGGTAATTCAGGGGACTCATGACAGACACCATAGTAGCAGGCAACCATGTAGCACCATGTGCACCAGAATTTACAGCAAACACAGCTTGACCTGATTTGAATTCGGGGTTGTTTGCCAAATCGGTATCAAATTTCTGAACAAAGTCTTTGTAACTCCGCTTTAGCGAATCAAACCGAGTGCGCGGTTGACGATTAAACAGCATTTCTGCTGGGCTCTTTCTATTTGCCATTGGAGTAGTTCGCTGTGTCAGCATCAACCTTTGCAGAGTGCTCTGCCAATCTCCATTCGCTCCCATTGCTTTCATTTTCTGTTTAAAATAACCCACGTAGTAGGTTCAGCCAACTCGTTTGCGGCTGCATGACCGGGAGCTGTGCATGTGTGAAGAATGCCATTTAACTTCAAGAATTGCTTTTAGTTTTAAAGCTCTGCACTTGTGAGCAGACTGCCATTATCATTAATCAGATGGGTGGTGAGCCCAAACATTGCAAAATCTCGACTGATAGTAGTCGCCGATGTTGCTTTATCCATGGGTAGTACGTCGACATAGCGTGAGTAAGCGTCGCCAGCACCAAACACATTTTTACCCATAAAAGGACCCACAAAATCCAAGTGCAATCGTTGCTATGGACCAGTAGGCCAAGACCAACTTCCATACTACTTGGCTGACTTTCGAGCGCTTTCCTGGCATTGAATACGTTCGTGAGCCAAAGCTTCGATGACTTTATCTACTCCAGGCCACCACAAGTAACGTTGAGCCATTCTTTTCATTCTAACAATGCCCGAATGTTCGAAATACAGATCGTTCAATAGTATGCCTCGGAGAGACTCCGGTATAACCACACGGTCGTTCCACAGAAGGATGTCATCCGACACCGATAATTCCAAACGCTTTGAGTAGTACTGGAGTAATCCGCGGTCACTAACGGACTGCGGCCAACCATTTAGCGTATAGTGTAGAACGCGTTTGAGTACAGAATCATTGCGTGTTTCAGTAGCTACGGTTGTAGCTAAAACTGCTTCGCTCTCAACGAGGAGGACTTCGATTCAACCAACTCCTCCTGAGTAAGTGAATCATTGCACGCTGGTTTCCGAGACATGAAATCAGCAAGTACGTTATCTTTGCTTGGTACGTACTCCATCGAATAGTGGTAGGCAGAGAGAACAAGTTTCCATTTCTTTAAACGTGAAGAAACAAGGATGGGTACAGCATTCTCAAGCCCGAATAAATTCAGCAGCGGTTTGTGATCGGTTCGAAGGGTGAAATCCCGGCCCAAAAGGTATTGGCGGAAAAGCCAGAGCCAAGGATTCACGTTCGATATTAGAGTACCGCTTTTCTGTGGGTGTGAGTACACGGGACGCATAAGCCACTGGACGGAACTCCATTGTTCTTCTGGAGTAATACTGCACCTAGACCTACACCAGAAGCGTCTGTTTGTAGAACAACTGCTTTGTTAGGTGAATAGTGAGTAAGTACCGTATCAGAACATAGAACCTCTTTGATTTTGGAGAAAGCAGATTGCTCCAGCTCGCCCCATTTCCATTCAGTATCTCTTTTCAGCAAAGCGTAGAATGGCGCCATGATCTTAGCAAATTGACGCACGTAACGGCCATAAATAATTTGCTGTGCCAATGAAAGACTGCAACTCGGACACATAAGTAGGAGATTTCGCAATCGAGAGAGAATTGATCTTGGATTCACTGGGAGAAATGTCATTTGCTGAGAAAGTGTGTCCAAGATAGTTAACTTCGTCAAGCATAAATTCAAATTCAGCGCGGTTCAGCTTCATTCTGACATGTTTCAGTCGATCCTTCACCAATCTGAGATTCGCCAAGTGCTCTTCGTTGTCTTTACCCGAAGCAAGTTTGTCCTCTAGGGAGAGAACGCAACCGGGACTGTCAGCTAGAATGGCCTCCATTGTACCTTGAAAGATTGATACAACAAAGTGAATGCCAAATGGCAATCTTGAATATTCGAACAGACCCTTGTGTGTGGATATTGGAGGTGAATTTCCGAGATTCGGGGTCTAACTCCAACTGGTGATACGCCTGCGCTACATCAAGCTTAGTGAACTTGCGACCATTTATCAGTTTTGTGAACATTTCATCAATCGTTGTAGAGGGTAAGATTCGAGCTCCGATTTAGCATTGATTGTGCGCGAGTAATCGGCACGGATCCAGATGCTCTCATCCGGCTTTTGCACAGGCACGGTATGTGAAGCCCATTTAGAGACATTCACCTTGCGTATTATTCCCTGAGATTCCAAACTTGCCAGAACTAATTCGTACTTCTCTTTTTTTGCAAATGGAATGGTATGAGCTTTCATGTACACTGGCTCATCCTTTACCCGCAAAGTGACCTTCTTACTTGAGTATTCAATTTCCCGATTCTATCCGTAAACAATTCCTGGTCGTGATTGCTCAAGGATTTCGGCACGGAGCTTCATTCTCTCCTATTTTTGCTCTACTTCAACTTTCACAGAGAGGATTTCTTGCCAATTTAGTTGAAACATAGTGAGCATATCTCTTCCCACAATAGAAGGACTAGCATTATCAACTACTCGCAGCAAAACGGTATGAGTAGACCCATTGATTGTAACAGGCATTTGTTTCTCGCCCAAGCATGGGATCCTACTACCCGAGAAACTGACCAAACGAGAGAGCTTGGAAGCTCAGGGCCCTACGCTATGCTTTTTTGCCGTGATGATCTAGACAAAAAAAGCATAGGGATGTTATAAATTCTTAAAAAAATTCCTTTTTTTAAGACATAACCTGGGATTCGAACCCGCACTATCGCGCGCCCTGCATGCATACCCCGATACACTTCGCATACATACTAATTCTTCCAAGTTGCTTCACGTTATGATCTTGCATTTGAAAGCCCTATTTGAATATGCATTGTGGCCAGCCGTCTTTGATGGTACGGTACGGTTCTGGATAGGTACGGGACAGGTACAATCGAGGGTAATACGACACCGTCTACCGCCTTGATGACGGCAAAAAAAGCATAGGGATGTTATAAATTTTTCAATTCTCCTATTTTTTTTCAGGCATATCCTGGGATTTGAACCCGCACTATCGCCCTACATGCATTCCCCCATACACTTCGCATTCATACCCATTCTTCCAAATTGCTTCACGTTATGATCTTGCGTTTGAAAGCTCTATTTGAATATTGCGGCCAGCTGTATGTGGCCAGCTGTGTTTGATGGTACGGTACGGTACGGGACAGATACGGGATAGCGCCAGGCGTGACACAAACAAACAAACAAACACACAAATACCAAATTAAAGCTGTGTGGACCCTGGCTAGTGCCAGACGTTACTGAAGTAACGTCTTCTGCATAGCTACGGGAATTAACCGTAGGTGTAGATAGAGAAGCAATTGTAGTACCCAGCTTCTCAAAATCTCTCTTATTGACAATCGAGACTGCACTGCTTGTGTCTATTTCCATTTTGACAGGTAAGGGAGACTCGTTGATCATGGCAGTAACCATGTGAGGGGGTCGGGTTTCACCATTTCCTGAATTGATACGATACATCGGTACTGGCTGATCACATACTAAAGCAGTCTCACCTGAAACAGATATGTCGGTGTCCTCGTCGATGTGGTGCACTTGTTTCGTCTTCTTCAGACACACTTGCTCCAGGTGACCACGGCGGTGGCAGTATCCACATTCCGATGATTTGTGTAGATATTTGTCCGCTAAACGTAGATCTGACCCACAACAGTAGCAACACTTGGAGGACTTGTCTTTGCTCTTCGCAGTTTGTTTGGCTGGTCTGCAATGTTGGAATACCTTGTGGACCGATGATTCAGCAGCGCTTGAACTTGTCGTCGGTGCCAGTTCTCTTGCAAGTCGCGCCGCAAACTCCTGATGCTCAGCCAGGTCTACGATTGATGTGAAACCTGGTATCGCATCAGGGGCGGACGTCAGAATGTTTTCCTTTATATTCTCGTAATCCAGCAATGAACTGGTCTTGTAGAGCCCGATCGCGATGGTCGCTAAACTCACATTTCATTGCTCGTTTCAGACGCTGGGAGTAGTCTATTACACGTTCCCCAGCAGATTGGACACACTGCCGAAATTGGTACGATCCAGTTGTTTTGTTCGTCTCGATTTTGTAATATTTTGTAAGTATATCTGACATTTCTCTGAAGGTCAGGCTCGATAGTTTATTAGGCAGACATGGAGACTTGAAAGTGGCCTACACAGGCGCGTAGCACCGCCGTTGGCGGTGGTCTGGCCAGGGGGGGGGGGGTCCGGGGGGATCTGCCCGCGGGAATTTTTTTAAATTATGGTGCAAAATCCTGCATTCTGGGCACTTTTGGCATTGTTTTACTATGGCGGTCGTGGTCGGGCGAAAAAGCCGGACCAGCCAGAGCGGCTGCTACGCCCCTGCTACACATCCTTCGAGAGCATAGACACTAAGTATGCCGCACGGCGTTTCGCTGGAGCTAAGTTCTCATCTTTAGAAGCTCTGGAAGCCACGATGCCCGGCTGGTAAGAAAACTCTAAACATTCCAGATAGTCTGCGAAGTCGCCGCCATCGAACGGCTCCAAGCTTGACTTGGGCATGTTGTCTTGAACAACTAACTTGCCAGCACTACACTAACAGCAATACACTAAAGTAAATAAACCATTTCATCTTCTTCATCGCCATTTTTTATGTATCCATATCGATAAAGTCTTAGTCCAAACACCAAGGGCAAGCCGTAGATTTACAAGAAGGAAAGGGGAAAGTACCATGACCAGCTGCACGCATGCTGCAGATATACTACTAGTAGACCAAGTCATAATATGTGTACTCTTGTGACGAATATGTAGTGATGTAACAAGAATGAACAATGTATTGCAGGAGGTTCGAGGAAGTCGCCGGAGCTGACTGATGTGTTTTTGCTTTTGCTTTTGTAGATCGCGGGCAATCTGTGGATTTCAGTCAAGAACGTGAGGTGAGTTGTAAGGTGAAATTGTCAGAACATAATCTTACTATGTTGAACTGGGTACCATTGAGCCGAATGAAAATACACAATTGTGGGATAATGTAATATCGGCATCACAGCCATTCTATGCTGGATAGCCTACCCCCTCCACATTTGGCATGTCTTCCACAACTTCCCTTCTCTCCCAGTTGCCATGTACATGTAGGTGTGTGTATGTGTATGTGTGAACAGTGGAGATACCAGAATTTGAATTTGAATTCGTCCTGTACAGTCGACTTGATTTGTTGGTGGACGAGCTGAAACGCTTCTCTGTCGGCGTCGCTGCCATTCAGGAGACGAAGTGGTTCGGGACTGATGTCTGGACGACTGGGGAATTCACGATGGTGCATTCGGGACGTCCTCTACCAAACAACGGAAGTAAATTTATTCGGAACGAAGGTGTTGGAATTGTGATGAGTCGTACGATGTCTGATGCGAGGGTACGTGCGGGTCGGGAATGGCGTGCAGTCAGCTCTCGAATCGTCACCGCGAGATATAAACTACAGGACTCGGGTACAAAGTCATCATCGCGACGCTGGACGCGGCGCTCGGATTTGTTCATGACTATTGTGAATGTTTACGCACCAACAAGTAAACCAGGGTTGGATGTGAAAACCCAGTTCTACGATGACCTACAGCGAACATTGGATTCTGTTCCAGAGAGGGATATATTGATTGTGTTCGGTCATTTCAATGCAAAATATTGGAAATAGCGATGTACAGTCCCCTGGAGATGATGTATGGTAAGGTGTATGTGGTGGCCATGGACTTGGTCTCCGTAACGAAGCTTGGAGACGTCTACTCATGTGGTGTGCGGTCAATCAGTTATCTGTAATGAACACCTGGTTCGAGAAGCCGGAGTACAAGCGAGGAACGTGGTGCCACCCTGCAACAAGCAATGCCATCTGACGGACATGATCCTTGTGCGCCAATCGCAGAGGGCTCACTGCAAAGATGTCAGTGTTTTGCGTGGGGCAAATTGCTTTGCAGACCATCACATGGTACGAGGAAAGTTCTATATCACTCTGTATAAGCGCTGTACGCGTGGAGACGCTTTCCACCGCACATCAGAAACTGAAACAGGCGACAACTTGCTCGTCTTCTCAAGAACTCTCAACAACGAAGACACTGGCGCACGCAAAGCTACGTGTCATACAGCGCTCCAAAGAAGAAATGCGTAGATCACGCGCATGCATATGGGAAAAACAATGATGTCACGCTGCCATGACGATACACAAGCTGTACTGCACGCTACAACGCATCCCAACACTCAACAGTATACTATCAGTTATAGTTACATTACATTATATTACTGAAACGGAAAGCCATCTTTGTCTCCAACCAAAGCAACAACTCGCGGAGCAACCAAAGAACAACTAAACTGAAAAGAAGAACCACATGGTTCAAAACCAATACACAAACCCGGCCCGTATCGCGTATGCCAGCGACACGTGCATAAAAGCAAGACTTAGTACAGAATGCAGAAAAGTAGCTTGCATGAAAAGTGCGTAGCGTTCACACCTGTATGCTAACCCGCACTACAACTCGCGTACTATACAAGGGACTAGTACTGCGCAGTAGGCACGCATTCAAATAAGCTGTAGACATGCACTGCATAAATCTCCAAGTCCTCGTACAAACTGTGCAGTGCTGCAAAGGTACAAATAAATAAATATCAAACAAATATCAATGTGTAGATCAGCGACATCCTCCCCACCAAAACCTAGTGCAGGTTTTACAAGTCCAACCATTGCCTGTCGCTATACGCTGGGCGAGCAGAGAAGGTAGCGGATCATCCCACTTGCCTTGTTCCTTCCAGGCCTCTTGCAGGAGGATCTTGCCTGTCAATACTGCCGGTGACACCGAGTCGAGCGGATCAAATGTCGCTGCTATGCACTTCAATGGGGTGCGCCTCGTCCATGTCTTCCAGAGTGGCAGTTGACACTGCATCGCTACGTGAGAGGGAGAGTGTGTCGGCTGTCAAACACTAGACGGCGCTGAGGGCATTGCCTGTAGCTGCTGAGGTGCTGTGGCTGTTGCTGCTGCCACTGCTGCTGCCGCTGCCATTGTTGAAATCACTGCTACCATTGCTACTGTCATCATGAAGCAGGGTATGGTGTTTGTTGCCACACTTGCTGCAAGTAACACTACTGGCACAACTTCCCCGGCTGTGCCCTGTCCGCAGGCAACGATAGCAAAGGCCATTGGTTTGCGCATACTCGCGGCGCTGAGCAACAGGCATGCTGTGGAGCGTGTTCTCGTCATCGGCAGTGGACAGCGTGAAGCACTGTGCTGATGCACCCTCGCACTCCCAGGCCACAGGCTTCTTGTCAGATACAGATACACCATGGGCCTCCTGATACGCTGTACCCAGCTCCGTGATCTCTTCAAACGTTTTCTCGCCGATCTTGTTTTCCAGCAAGTACGCACGGAGGTCAAGCGAGCATCCCTGGAGCACAAATTGGCGGACGATTGCCATGAACATCTCACTGTTCCCACTGCTCTGCTTCTGGCCCTGCGGCCCTCCAGTTAGCGATGCCCACTCTTGCACCAGTTGCACTACATGGGTTACGTACCGGAAAAACGTGTCCTCCGTCTGCTGATGCAGAGACAAGAGCTCGGACCACGTCTTCTCGGCAGTCTTGCCAAAACTACGTGTCACTTGAACTTTAGCGCTTTCATAAGTTGTGACATGATCCAACACCGGTTCAAGCCTTGTCCCCATCGCAGCCGAACGGAGGGCCAACAACCATGTCGATTTTTCGTAGCCATTTTGCTGAACAACAGCCTCAAATGTTATGAAATAACGCCGGATGTCCTGTTTGTCGGTGTATTTTGGCACGTCCAACTTGTGGGGGCGCTTCTGCGCGTCGTTACTGCCACTACCACTCGCGGCCTGGAGTTTTTCTATCTCCTTCTTACTGTCCAGCTCCTCAGCGATTCGTTCTGCACGGTCTTGTGCTCTCTGGTCCCTATCGGTTGCTTCGGTGAGCTTGCGCTCCACGAAAGAGACCAGTGCCTCGCCAGAATACCCGTAATCCTTGCCAAGCTTTAGGTAACTCGTCTCCAAGTTCATCCATCCAAAAGCCTCAGCGCTTCCACCAGCACCAGGCGATTTCCTTTCGGACTCGGCCATGCTAAGCCAGCACGCTACGATGCACGATTCAAATTTTACTGGGTGGTCGCCAAATATTGGTGTCGGGGTCCCAACGCATCCCAACACTCAACAGTATACTATCAGTTATAGTTACATTACATTATATTACTGAAACGGAAAGCCATCTTTGTCTCCAACCAAAGCAACAACTCGCGGAGCAACCAAAGAACAACTAAACTGAAAAGAAGAACCACATGGTTCAAAACCAATACACAAACCCGGCCCGTATCGCGTATGCCAGCGACACGTGCATAAAAGCAAGACTTAGTACAGAATGCAGAAAAGTAGCTTGCATGAAAAGTGCGTAGCGTTCACACCTGTATGCTAACCCGCACTACAACTCGCGTACTATACAAGGGACTAGTACTGCGCAGTAGGCACGCATTCAAATAAGCTGTAGACATGCACTGCATAAATCTCCAAGTCCTCGTACAAACTGTGCAGTGCTGCAAAGGTACAAATAAATAAATATCAAACAAATATCAATGTGTAGATCAGCGACACACGCAGTGCACACAAATAACGGAAAATCAAGAAAAATCAGAAAATAATACAAACAGTGAAATTCGAAAGTAGAAGTCCAAAGGAAGTTCAAAGAACAAGGAAAACGAAGATCTGTGCTGATAGGAACTCAAAGCAATTTCAACCATGTCCTGTCAGAGAGTGTTAGCACCCACAGGGTGAAGGCAAGCCTTGTCAGAGCAGAACCTACACTTGGACGGACTAGAGCTGCAGAACGGACTTTCTGAAGGAATGCAAAGATAAGTATCAATTCAAATTTGAGATAATCAACTTAGAAGCAACACCAGCTGTTTTGTAACCTGTAAACTGCTTGTAACAATCAGTGGTGTACTAGTAACTAGGGCTCAAACGGTTAGTCCGATTAACCGGTTGCAGACCGGTTACGAAGGATTAACGGTTAACCGATAAAGATAACGGTTACACAGTAACTTTATTTTTCAAGTATCAGGTCGCTGCAAAGTATGCACTTTCGCAGGCTGTCGCACGCGTACGCAATTTCTGGGCTGTCAACTCAGTCATATCTGGTCTCTTGGTGTGAGAGTATGTATGAATGAGCATGCAAGAGAATGTACACGTGTGCGTTGTACTGAATAGGGTACATTTTTTGAATGAGTATAGTCGAATATACCGTTATAAGAGAGTCCGCAGGATTGCCGTGGCTTATAGGTTATAACCGTTAAACCGACCGTTAGCTTAGCAGTTAACTGTTCGGGGTAAAACCGTGACCGTTTGAGCCCTACTAGTAACTAACTCCTAGTAAGCGCTTTGACTGTGCTCTCGGAAGAACGAAGGACTCAGTAATTCCAACAAAATATGGAACAAACACAGTAGATAGATAATTGTGACACTCGTAAATTCTACAATATCTGGAGTCTTCTGCATAGCACATGAAGAACACACAGATCGCACAGGGAACACACAGAGAACAGAGCGCACACAGATCGCACAGAGAACACACAGAAAACGCACACAGAACGCACACCACTGCATACTGTCTTCCGAACAAGCGCAGAGGGGCGGGATGTGTCCGTACCCGCCCGATTGCGGACGAGTCACTAGCAGATCCTGCCACCGAGCGCAAATGTCAGAACGCAATCTCTGTCCATTTGGACGCTTGTGATCTCTTGCCAACAGCGGAAGCGGAATGGACAGTCGTGGCTGTCTCATCGACACATCAATGTCGATGCTTGACACAAGAAGGCGAAATCAACCCGCCTGGTTCAAGTTGGCTGCTGCCACCATCACCCCTGTCATCGAGACCAAGAACAGGCTGCATAACGGGATGCTGCAG